CACACCTTATACATAAGCACACCTTATACGTAAGCACACCTTATACGTAAGCACACCTTATACGTAAGCACACCTTATACGTAAGCACACCTTATACGCTAAGCACACCTTATACGTAAGCACACCCTATGATGCTTAGTTATCTAGGCTGCGAATGTGTTGCTGACTTACCAGACTTCTTTCATATATTAAAATGAATGTCTAAAGTTTGTTAGAAAAAGTGCAATGCAATCATATTTCCTTCACAGGTCGTATTTATTTTCTGCATACATCTACAACACATACTTTTGCTTTTCAATTTTTCATTTTTGTTATTAGGGCATCAAAACACCTATCAAACACCCATTTAACTGTGTGCAAAACCTGTCTGCACAATTTACATTCTGTTTTTTGAAGACGGGTTAAAGCACATAATACAGTTAAATTGCTGAAACGACAAAAGGGACATTAGTGCGGCATTTAGGGCTAAGCATTAATCCTTTGTGTCTTTCCTTCTGTTTACTGGATACAGGTTACTTATCTGGGTTTAGTTTCAGGGAGGCACTTCTGTCCAAGACGACCCTGGTACGCATACACTACTATTCAAGAGTTTGGGATCACTTAGAAATTTCTTTGCTTTTGGAAAAAAAAACATTTTTGTGCATTAAAATAACACCAGATTTGATCAGAAATACTGTATAGACATTGTTAATGTAAATGACTATCATAGCTTGCAATAGCTGTTTTAAATGGAATATCTACATGGATGTACAGAGGCCCATTATCAGCAGCAATTAGTCCTGTGTTCCAATGGAATGTCGAGCTTGCTCATGCAACTTTATAATTTTAAAAGGTTAGTTGATCATTAGAAAATCCTTTTGCAATTATGTTAGCACAGATGATAATTGTTATGATTAAAGAAGCATTAAAACAGGCCTTCTTTGGACTAGTTGAGTATCTGGAGCATCGGCAATTGTGGGTTGGATCACAAGCTCAAAATGGTCAGAAACAAAGAACTTTCTTCTGAAATTCTTCAGTCTATTCTTGTTCTGAGAAATGAAGGCAATTCCATGCGAGAAACTGCCAAGAAACTGAAGATCTCCTACAATGCTGTGTGGTACTACCTTCAGGGAGCCACACAAACAGGCTCTAACCACAATAGAAAGAGGAGAGGGAGGCTCCCTACGGGATTTGGCGTTGCTGACAGGTCCAGATATTTACCATGCTAGATATCTGACGATTGTCTATATCGCATTGCCGAAGTGTCGGGTCACATTGTGAACAGTTCATACATAGCAATTGAGCACCAATTTTCCTCCAATCTGGGGGGTTTGTCGGCAATTTCCAAAAATTGATGGCGAGCAGAAAAACGGGGCTAAAACTCTGTACTGTGAACGTATCATTAGTTATACTGGAAGCTGGCATTTGTGCTTACATGCACCAAGCGGGAAAAACAAATCATCCAATGAGAGAGATGCATGGAGACAGTGAGGATTGGTACGTGCACTTGCAGATTTATATGTATGTAATTCATTGTTTAAAAAGAATAACAACCGATGCTTTGACGTGGCTACTGTGATCTAGGTTCTCAGCCCAAACAGAGCCATTCGTTTCATCTCATCTTTACTTGTCTGAACATAACGAACAGAGATTTTGCCGTAATTTTCATTGTCAAACATTTTTTCATTGACGTTGTCTTTACAATTTAGTCATGAAATAAAAGCTCTCAACGAAAACATATCGTAAAAACTTTCGTTGACAAAATTAACACTGGGTGCAGGGTGATCAGTGAGCTCTGTGTGAGGGCGTGACTCTCTGGGTCCCCAGAGCAACAACTGCGTTGGATTTGGATTTTTGTAGCTCGACCAGTATACTACAGCACTGTTCTATCTGTGGTTGTTACTTGTTTGTTTAACTCATTTTGAAAAATAACTTTGCTATTTAAATTGTAATTGTGCAGTGGGATATCTGTCCTGCTGTAATTAAGGTTACGTACCTTAAGTACCTTGCCTACATTTTCAGCTTCAGGCACCCGTGTTGGTTTTAAAGATGCCACACTAACTCTCTGCTGCCCTCTAGTGTATACACATCCACAGTATTCACTTTGCATGTAGAATTAGCGAATGTTTAAGCATTTTAGATTGTCCTCTATGTATAGTTTCTTTTTAAACAAACAAGACGCATGTGTGTCACGCAGCCCCAGCACGACAGCAGGTAGTCACTGAGTATGCCCTTTTAATCCAAAAGTCCCAGGGGATTCTGCTGTAGCTAGTAAATCCGAAAGCAAGACAGTAGTAAATAAATGGCAGTATTGATGATGCTTTCAGTTGCTTTTTTGAAATCCAACAAATCCCTCCTCTCTCTCTCTCCTTTCAGCCAAGAGCCTCTGCCCTCTCTTGTCCCCTTTTCCTCGTGGTCAGTGATATTTTCAGGTAAGAGGCAAATGGGTCTGTAAAATTATGTTCTGCTCATGAAACCAGAGCTGAATTGTCTGAGTAGACGGAGGGTCGTAACAACATGTCTTTTTACCGCCGAAAAACGGGAAAGGAGCAAAGCACCCTGGCAGAGCCCACTGTGAGGACGTGACCTCACAGTGAGCCGCGAGCTTCCTCCTTCACGTGCTCCGACCTCGTTCCGGTTTCGGCCGGCAGCAGGTCTGCAGACAGACTCCTGCTCCGTCCTACGGCTCCTCGGCTCTGCAGCCGTGCCCTGATTATATGCCCGCATTTCAGGCCATCTGCCCTTTTGCCATGGCCCTGGTCTGACATGCAGGTAGCCCTCACTCAAATGTCCTGTGAGGCGTTTCCCTCACAGGCAGCGTTTCACAGAGACGTGTTTTCTTAACCAATCACTTCATGTGGAAGGCTGGGGTTCCTCTGATTTTCCTTCATTAACAGCAGGACTGCATTTCACTGTGCTCTTTGTACCACTGTACCTTTATTTTTTCCCTGCCCCCCTCCCAAACACCTGCTCTTACAAAGCAAGGCTTTAAAAACAAATCATACCTGCTTTTTATGTTTCTTTCATGATCCACAGGGTGCTGTTGTGGACTGAAAGGACTGTTCTGTAGTTATTCTTTTCAATGCCCTTCTCCATTTTTGTTGTGCATTAATTTCTTTTTTGAGTTCTCTCTCTCTTTATACTTGCCCACAGTGTTTTGTCTGTCCGTCCGTCCGATCTGTCTGTTTGTATATGTCTGTTTGTTTATTGTGTGTTTGTTGTATAGTGGATTGCTTGTTTATGGTACCTCGCTGGTTGTGCATTTGTTGCTTGTTGAGTGTACGTCTTGCTTCCCCCTTGACCTGAAACAGGGCAGAGTGATGACCTGGTGACCAGTAATCTCCTGTCTCATATTTTGTAATCTGATTGGTCATCATCCATCTGGGTAGAGTAAGTCTTTTCTTGTATCTGGGTTTGCCGCTTCGTGTCATGTTTCACATGACTTCAGTCACCTCAGAATGAACCCGAATTCTTCAGCTGCCATGAAGGCAGATGGAGAGACATCCTGTGTCTGTGTTGAGCTTGTATCCTTTCGTGAGTGTCAGATTTACTCTTGGACCACAGTGAACGTATGTTGCCTCCTCTTAAGGAAGCATAATTCATCTGAGATCTGATGCCTAACACACTGCTTACTTCTCTAGATGTTCTGAGGAGGCCTTGTGTAACTGCCATTTATCCGTGGCCCCAGGGTTAGATATGCCTGGGATGAGTACTGATGAATGTCCTACCTCAGGTTATATTAGCCACTGGGTTTGAACATTAAGCAGCCATGTGATTGGTGCTCATTTACCGCTGTCATCGCTCAGCTGCTTATCACAGGGTTATTTGCATGCTTGGTCTTCACGATAGGCTGCTGTTGTCTGACTGTCCTAGGGCCGCGTTGCGGGGGGCTTCTGGGAGCCGGGCCCTGCGCTCTCTCCTCCAAGCCTTCACACGCTGCTTCCTCCAGGCATGGGGACAGGTGGAGCCGCAGGTAGGCATCATAAACGCCAGCCTGCCCACACAAGGCCGCTTTTATGTCACCCTTCTGGCTCTCGGGCTCCTCAGCCTCCTGTTTCTGCATGTCGGATTCAGTGTGCAGGAACCTCTGCTCTTCTGCACGTGATTTATGCGAGAGGCGTCATGTGAGACGACCACCTGTCCATTTTTATGTGTAAAATCTGAACCCACTCTGTAATTTAAACATCACAGTGCATTTTTCATCTTTACATATAATAATCTACATAATGCTCATATTTCTACATATGAAACCTTACCCCTCATTTTAAAGCCTTTCCACTGCCTTTTACTTCTACAGCATATTTTTACATGCAGATCCTTATCTCACACCCCCTTTTCAGACAAACAGCGTTGCTCCAGAAATGCTTAGTCCACACCATAATAACCTCACTGTTTTCTTACAACCCTTAAAACATTCATTATAATGTGTTGATAGACATCATGTGTTTGTCCTGAGTTGACACTAGACTCCCCTGCTCACAGTGTGTAGGGTCTGTGGCTCTTTTACTGGGGTGTTTCCAGTTACACAGCTGGGGAGGGGGAGAAGCATAAAATATATGAATGAAAGAGTTAGTACTTTGAAAAATATACTCAGATTAAAGTGTTTTCTTTATATTCTATGTCCACAGATGGCTTAGTTGCTTCTTGTACTTCATATTTAACCCGAAATGAGCACTAGATGGCACCACATTATCTTGTTTGGCCGCAGCTCAGTGCTTCTCTGTGAAGTCTGATGTGTAAGAGCGGAGATGCACCACGTGTCACGCGCTCAGCTGAAGGGGTCGCCCCCAGGGGGTTTGTCTGTCCACATGCCTTTTTGAGTTTCGCTTCCCATCCCCAAGGTGCCCATCAACAGTCTTCAACACCATGGACTTTTAAAATATACTTTCTAAATGCCTGAAACGTTTGATGTATTTAAATGGACCGTCACACCCCTCTGGCTGCACAGCTCAATGAATTCTTTGCTTTATTATTTTCATCACTGGAAACTTTATCACCAGAAAGCCGGTGCTGAATGCAAACAACCGACAGCCAAGTCTTTGAGTTAAATAAATCTTAAACACACTTTGAGTAGCATGTTTAAACCATCTGCCAATATGAAAGCAGGGGGTTTTCTGTACATTTCTGGGGTCGGGGAGAAAAACAGCAAGATTGGCAGAGACTTTTCAGAGGCATTAATTGTCCCTTGGAACAAAGCAAAGGCAGACATTAAGATACAGGGAGGATACAGTGCTACAGATAGTCTGCCCAAGCACAGGCCGCTGTCCCGGGCGCACAGGTGGGTGATAAAGGCTTTGAGCAGAGGAGTCATCCAGATGCCAGTGGCAGCCCTGAACAGCTCCATGACCAAGCTGGGAAAGCTGCCCATGGGCCCACAATAGCCAAGGTATTCCAGTTTTATGGCCAGTATGGGGGAGTGGCAAAAAAGGCTTTAAAAAGTCCTTGTAGGAGGGAAAAAAAGACTTAGCAAAAAGGCTTGTTGAGGACTGAAGAGGTTTGGCTAAATATGCCACGGTCCAGTTGTGCTGAAACTGAACTGTCTGGCTTAAATACAAACCAGATCCAGCACACTGGATCACCCTGGCAACCCCATCCTCACAGATAAACGTTGTGTCAGCTTGTTCCTGAGGGGATTGTACACAACTTTGCTGATCAAGTTCTTTAGAAGGGTGGTGTGATGAACTGTCTAGTACACTCTGGACAATCTGACAGGTTAGTCGATGAAGTTCTGCCATTTGGTGGGAATGTGAATGAGCCTGTGTGGCATTTTGGGAAATGATGTGAGTGTCTGGATACAGGTATGGGGGTGTGTCATCAAGAGAGCAGTGGGGTGAGAGGAAATGACCAAAACTGTGGCACCTCGCAAACGGAGAATTGAGTTTGGAGACCCGGTACTGATCTCTGTGGTAGGCCAATAAAAAGGTTAGGCACAGGGGAAGGACCCAGGCAGAGAAGGTAAGCCACATAGCAGGGTAGCTCAGCCAGTTTGATTTGTAGGTTAAGCGGAGATGTGAGGATTTGATGATTTACTGTGGGTCCACCGACACGAGAATAAACCGGAGTCACGGAAACCGCAGGGTGGGCTGCTTCCACCAAGTCTCATATTGGCGTAACGCACACTGATTCAGGAAAGAAATGTGGACAGTTCGTGGCAACAAGTTCTACAGTTATGGAGAGAGAATGGAGAACAGAGTCTGGTCTGTAATTCCAAACCACAGTGGGATTGAGGGGAATCGTCTTCAAAAGAGTTAGACGGCCACAGAAAGGAGAAGATCTGACAGCAGAGAACAGATGAGGTCATTGTCTGACTAAAATATTTGTTTCCAATTGTGTCGTACCAAAAAAAAAATTCTCCTTGTTTCATCTTGGATTAAATTAGGTAGATCAAAAAATATCATTTAAATCCACTGAAGCTGGGTGCTTCATATAGACCCCTAAAGGCATCAGTGTCATTCAGAGGCGGTCATTCAGAGGCGGTCATTCAGCAGCTTATCGTGGATGAGATTCTGAGCTTTGCTGGCGTGTCTCGGTCACACTTAAATATCCAGACCGCAGGACACTGACTGACTGTGAGGTTAGGTGTGATGCAGCCCCCCCCTGTGTCTGGTGCATGATATGTCAGCCACTACTTGGCTCACCCAGCCAGTGCTGTTTTACCCACACACACACGCACACACACACACACACACACATAGTACTTCGGTCACCTTAAAATTTTGAAGTGAAAGTAATCAGAGGTCATTTTGAAAAAAGATCTCCTGCAGAGGGTCCCAGTGAACTTCAATTGTAGGGCACTAACAGATCAGGAATAATGTATGCAAATGCAATCGTAATGGCGCAGAGACAGTAATCAGCATGTGACATTTGCGTATCAGCACTTAAGTACGTCGCTGGTGATGGGGACAGTGACGGTGTACCGCGTCTTTGCAGGACAGGCTGCCCCTGACGGCCTTCTTCCCCAGCACCCCTGTGTCTGTGCTCATGGCCCTGGTGCAGCGTCCCGCAGGTACAGTCCTAGGAGGGAACCCCATGGCCTGCCTCCTGTTTTAAATTCCTAACATACAGTAACTCTTCCATTATTAATAGTAGGGTAATTGTATTAATTGTAGGGTAATGGTTGAGCTTTCTAGCAGATCCTGGTTTCTTTGTAGCATTAGAGGTTCTGTTCAAAGTTTTCAAGATCATACTTCCTGCCTTCCCAGTAAAAAAAAAAAACCAAAACATTTGATGACTATGGAAGCATATATGGCTGCCACTCACATTCTGTTATTCAATATGAAAAAGTTTCAGGAGGGGAATTCAATTCAGCTCTTCCTGTATACATTACGGTACCCTGAGCAGCAGTATTTCACTCTCAGATTGAGATGAAGTGGCTGTTGGATTCAGGAGGATGGGGAGTGGGTGGGGGGGCTCTGAACCCCCACATGGGTATGATCTAACACTCACTTTAGCTGCCCTGACATAGGCTCGCTTACATGCCATACTACTTGTACATAATTGACTGCTTTTTTTTCCACCCTATGCCTCTTATTCCCCTGAACTTGAACAGATTATATTTAATGGTGGGTGCAGCGCATATTTCCGTGACTCGCGTGATGCGTGTGAGGCTGCACACACGCGTGTGATGTCCTCCTACCTGCAGATTTGCCTGAGGATGCGTGGCCTGCACACCTGCTCTGGATCGGCCGCTGCCTTCAGATGCCCAGGGGGCACAACGAGGCAGCAGACGCCAGGTGAGCGGCGGAGCTTCCCTGCTTCTTACATTCCTCACTGCATCATTTGAATGTTTTATTACTTCAGGACGCATGTAAATTGAGAAAACAACCATCCGTCCATCTGCTAGTCCTGGTCTGCTTTGTGGACTAGAAAACAACCAATAAGCAAATAAGGAACCGCATAGTTGCTGTGTTTGAATGGTGTGGTACCTGTAATTTTCCACTGGTCTGTCCATTGGCTGTGGAGTCACGTGTGATGTCTGCACTTGGTGAGGTTTGTAAACTGTGTGTGTATTGTGTGAGTTTCCGCTCACTGCTCCGCACCAAAATGTGCCTGTAGAACATGTTGCTAACCACAGTACCGGTGACGGCTGATCTTAATGAATCGAGTCTTTAATTAAACAACCCCCCCCCTTCCCCCACAAAACCCAGTTCCACCACATTTGAGACCTGCAGAGAATAACTCCCTACTATCTAAATTGGGTTTATGAATGCACTTGACTTTCTGCTGGCCCTCTGCTAACCATTGTTGGGATGGTAGAGCAACAGGCAGTTTATTGCCCCTCCCCCCCACCCAAAAAAAATGCATGCAATTACCACAGAACTAAGGGATAAGGCTCAGGAGAGCAATCGCCGCCGATCTACCCCGCCCAGCTGCAGCTTTTAACTCTCTGCATTAAATTAACGGCTCCATTTAGGGATCCTTGTGAAATTCCCCAGCGTTTTGAAATGGTGGGAAAATGTGTGGTGGGCCCTGTTGTGGCGGGGGGGGAGGCGCCGTGGGACGCGGGCCTCGTGAGCACGGCGCTGACGCAGTTCCCGTTGGGAGTAGATGTGCGTGCCTGTCTGCGCCCCCCCCTGACAGACAGGGCAGGCGGTAGGGACTGGGCCTCATGGCATTTGGCTGATGTAAATACTGTGTGGGGATTAGGATGGTGCTGGGCAGGGAGGAGCAGCTGAGGCCTGCAGAACAGGGTGTCCTCATCCACGTATAGGGGACCTGGAAAGGGATTCGGCAGATGAAGACCAAATAGCTTGGGAAAAATAAATAAACAAGTGGAAACGAAAAAAAATAAAATACTGTTCCCTTGCTATGCTCTTTTCCTTGTGAACTGGAATGTTCCCCTTTGTGACCCATGTCGCCGCACTGGCTTGTCTCTCCATCCAGGTGGCGCTGTGGTCCATTTGACCGCTGGCTCTTGCTGGTGCAGAATGGGCACTGGGTGGATGTGGCGTGCCAGCTTCTGGTCACATCTGATCCCCAGGTCTCTGCTCCTCTGGTTTGGCTGCTGATGTTCTATCATCACCCAGATGACAATGAGCATAAAAGGACCCAGGCACTAGTGAGTCTGCCTGCCTGTCTGTGTGTGTCTGTCTGCCTGTCTCCCTCCCTGTCTGTCTGTCTGCCTGCCTGTCTGTCTGCCTCCCTGTCTGCCTGTCTCCCTGTCTGTCTGCCTGCCTGTCTGCCTGCCTCCCTGTCTGCCTGCCTCCCTGTCTGCCTGCCTGCCTCCCTGTCTGTCTGCCTGCCTCCCTGCCTGTATGTCTGCCCGCCTCCCTGTCTGTCTGTCTGCCTGTCTGTCTGTCTGCCTCCCTGTCTGCCTGCCTCCCTGTCTGCCTGCCTCCCTGTCTGTCTGTCTGCTTCCCTGTCTGTCTGTCTGCTTCTCCCTGTCTGCCTGCCTGTCTGTCTGCCTGCCTGTCTGTCTGTCTGTCTGCCTGTCTGTCTGTCTGCCTGTCTGTCTCTCACTCTCTACATGTCTGCACTTTCTCCCAGGATTTCCTAGGCTTTGAAATCCTGTATGCAGTACAACATTCAATATCCAGCATTTAACATGTCAAAATTTAGCCTTTAGTTTGGCTAACAGTCGTCTTCCATGTTTTATGTTTAATCAAGATGCTGGCAATTCACTGGGACAGTGTAATCATTATGTATGTGTTGCTTTCACCCTTGCAATGACTGATTGCCTTTGGCCAGATGTGCTCATGGCCTCTACACGTCAAACAGCTGTGTCAGTGTGTTTGCTGAGGTGACAGTCAAACCCAGGATTCTCCAGTCACATCCAGCTGCATATAGTTTAACTATTGATCAATCTCATTGAATTTTATGGAATAAAATGCTACAGCAGGCAGATTTTTTTAGCTGGGGGGTGACAGCAGGCTGGTGGTTCTCTGTGTTGCTGAAGGCTCTGGGTCACTTGCAGGCTGTGGCTGAGGCGGCCCTGTTCCACCTGAGAGCTCTGTTCTGCAGTGCCTGCCCGCCCCCACCGCCTCGTCAGCAGGAACACGTCCAGGTGTTGGGGGGCCTGCTGACCGCCCACTCTCAACACCCCTCCACGGCTGGCCTCCTCCTCCGGCTCTCGGTCAGCTTCTGCGCCTTTTCCTCAGGGCCTGTCAGCGCAGCTGTGGAGCTGCTTGACGTGGTGAGCCCCCCCCCCGACACCCAGTGCGTTGCTTCCCTGTCTCCGACAAACAGCCCTTTGCTGCTTTTTCCCGCTCATGCATATTCACCAGCAGGTAGGCCTGGAACACATTTTTCCAGGGCAGACACTGAATGTTTGGCAGCCTGTGTCCAAACTGCCAGTGATTAGGGTTGGACCCGGACAGGCAGAGTCCTACTGACAGGAAACATTCCTAACCGGCCCCACTTCAGCCAGAAACCATCAGCTTGCCAGCACAGGGGCCGTCGATTCCGCTCAATAAACAATCGCTGTCGCGACAGGCCCCCCCAGCGTTCGGCCTCCGTGCGTTGGTGGTGACTTCCGTGCATGGGGATAAGGCCACTGCTGACACACATGCATTGTCCCAGGCCCGTGGTGCGGTTATATCCAGGAGACGTTTGTCGTCGGAACTTAAAGGGCCATTGTTCTTTTCATTTGACAAACAAAACCAGCACTGTGTGGAACAGGGGCCCATTACGGTGTCACCCACGCCCCAGTGTCCGTCTCCCGAGGGCTGCCGACGGCTGAAGGACAAACTGTAGGGACATTCAGGGTAGGAAGGGACTGTGGCTCGTCTGCAAAAAGGAAACTTCCTGTCACTCTTATGCTAATGCTTTTAGCTCCTTTTTTGTCTTGTTTTGTTATCAATTCCCGGTTTTATTGTCCCCCACCCCCAGATGGCACAATGATACATTTAACGTGTCATTAGCCATTTCCTTTTATCTGTCAAAGGAGGCCTTTACGGGATATCCCCCCCCCCCGACCGCAGCAGCATAGCAGAACAACCCTACGCTCATGTGACCTGGTGTCTTGTTTCTTCCTCAGATGAAGGTGCATTCGGAGTTGGTTCACGATGCCATCACACTCCTCACCGGTTTTGAGTGTGGATTAAGTGGAGGGGAAGCCAATCCCAGGTTGAGGAGAATTCAGGACATTCTCCGATGTGTACGGGTGGGCACCAACAGCGGCGTGCCCCAGGGCCTCTCCGTCGAGGCTGCACATTCTTCAGATGTCTCAGGTGCATCGTAAGATATCTGCTGGATTAAAAGACTTGTGGTGGAATTGCTTTTTAACCTTGAATCCCCCTGACTTTTAAAATGCAGCCCTTGTTACAGATGCTAAGCAGTCTGCCATCGCTTTTACCACCGGAGGTCCCCGGGATGTCAGCCTGCCAAACGCCCTGTTTTCCAGCTACACACCGTTTTTAGCCGGGAATGGTTAGGGCGGTCGCTCCGTCTCTTCCCGTGAAATTTATCCTGCTGCAATAAAAATGTAGACTGCATATTTTTTTAAACATTACTTTGATTTCCCGACAGACTTTAGAAAATAAAAGGGATGATTAAATCCGGCATTTCAATTCAGAGTGTTTTTTCCCCCGTCTCCCTAGTGACGGTTTTGGTTTTCTCGATTTGGTGGTTTTAAACTTCAGCGTGGCCAGTTCCTGCCCCAGCCCCTCCCTCCCCGGCCCAGCCCATCCCTCCCCAGCCCTCTCCACACTCTTGGCCCCATCCAAGGAAGCAGCCGGCCTGCTGGCCTCGGAACTCGCTTCCCATTCCTGGTGGTAGAGCGTGATGCATGTCTTCTGTGGCCAAACGGTGGCTCCTAGGAGCAGACCTCTGCAGCCCCCCCCCACTCCCCCAGCCCCTGGCTTCTCCCCCCGGGGCTCCTGTCAGACCTCCCAGCCACGTAAACACTTTAGCCTGCACGCCTCAGTGTCTGGAGGTGGAAAGAAAAGCGGAACGCTTCGGTTTGGCCTGAAAACTTTATTATTTTTTCCTCTGGTCCAAACAATCTTGAGTCAGGTAGGCTTTTACAGCAGCTACAGTGCATGTTCACAGTGGCTGGCGTCTTGCTGGTCCTGACAGGACCAAATTATTTGAGGTAAAACATAGCTCCACCATGGGGTGCCGGTGGACCTGCTGACGGCTTGTCCGTAGGGTGATTTTGCAGGGTGTAAACGCCGGTGACCAGCCATGGCTTTCTCCTCCATGTTGCTGCCTGCCTCAGTCCCTGGAAGACAGGAAGAGACAGGTGTCACGGGCAGCCCAGAGCCCCCTACAGTCTGCCCGAGGCGTACGGCTCTAGCGAGGCAGCGCTGTCTGGTTGCCTCCTCGTACACAGCCAGGAACATGGCCCCGCTGGCTGGAGAAGAGGGCCTGCAGTAGGGGTCTTTTAATCTGCTATAGGCCTCATCCACTGTCCATTGTTCCATTGTTGGGGGGGTCCACAGATTTGGTGAGTTTGGTTCCTCTTCAGTTCTTAATTTAACAGGAATGATTGTCTAACTCTAGCCAGTGTATAGGATTTCATAATGTGTTTCATGCTAGAAACATTTACGTCCGTATTCTTCCTTTAAAATCAATTTCTGCCTCTTAAAAGCCAAGGTAAGCGAAACAGATGCTCACTCCAGAAGAGCAATGACTTTTTTTTTACTTAACTTAGGGCACTTTTTCACTGCACCAGGTACCGTACTTTTGGTACTCGAGAAAGTACCAAAAGTACAGTACTTGAAGTTGTTGGTTTTCCACAGCTGTAAAAACTGGTACCGGCGCCAAATGCCATGGCAATGCTAGGTGGGTATTTTCTACTGAATTCCAAAAATGGCTGCAGTGTATTATAGGGCTGGAGGACGTGCAGTATTATGCACATGCATATCTTGCATTGCTTAGTCAGCTAGATTAAGATCAGGCTTTTTCTTACTTTCAATTCTGTACGGACATTATAGTGCAGGGAGGTTAACATTTTTAATGGTGTCATGCAAGAAAAAAAAACTTAGCTACCTTTTAATTATTATTCCTTTTATAGAAAATCTCATATATGTTTACAAATCAGTTTACAGTTTACCTCCCGCTGCTTAAGCATCCTTGCTGTTTAAATCACTCCTAGATGGTTTGTGAGAACTTCATGAATTCCTTTTTGCTTTCTAAATACCCCAGTATTTTTTTTCCAACAAAATCATTGTTGTTGTAGTGTATTAAACAAAATACTTTTTTTTTTACTTCTTACCATGCCATCCTGATCTAGTTAATTTTACTTTGTTTATTGTTGTTTTCTGAGTTTGCAACTGTTTAAAATTGAGGTTGTATTGTGTTTGAGACAGGCTATTTGCATAACCAATCGACAAAATAAAAGTCCCACCCCAAAGTACCAAAGAAGTACCCCAGCTGGTTTGGCACTTCTGGTACTGGAACATTTGGTACTGGCACTCGACCGGAAGTCAATGGAAAAGTGACAGTACTTGGTGCGGTGGAAGAGCACCCATAAAGAACCAGATGGTTCTTTATGCTGATTTTCTAGTATTTAACCAAAGAATGAGGTCTGGGTGCGTGTTTCTCATAATGGCCGTAATTAAACATCTGCTGGAAGGATAACCTGTTTCCATACTGGGTGACGGAAACCATGAGTCTCTGCTGTATGGATCTGCTGGGGTTTTTAGGGACAGGCTGTGTCTGGGGCCAGACTCCTGTTCCTGCTGAACTGAGCCAGTATGTAAGTAGAACTGTTATCAGCTCAGTAGGCACAGGAGGCTAAGCCCTGGTCCTCTGGGCTGGCAGGTCGCAGGGCACGGCAGGAGTCGGGCCACACCTGGGCCACGCTCCAGGCCGAGCTGGCAGGAGGAAAAGGTGGAAACAAATGAAGCCCAGGTGTCTTCATGGAGATGCTCTGCGGAGGAGGTAATGCAGTTAAGTATCAGAATAACAGCCAGGTGCATCTGGGCAGATCGCACCGTAAAGGGCACGAGTGTTTCCTTGCTACCCAACGCAACCTTGTTACCTCATTGGTGCTCATTTTAATTAGCTTCTTCGTTTGGGGACTTGGACAGAGGTGTGTTTTATCACTCAAGTCCAGCACCTCATTTTCCATTTGCCGTACTTTCGAATCACATTCAGAGCCCTGGTCTGATCATAATGGCCTCTGTAAAGGCTTTTAGGCCTAGTCGTTTATAGTACCTGTAAACATGGCCTTGGATGTGTCTGCTCTGGGAGGCAGACATCTGTCAACACTTAGCCATTTTGGTTAAGAGTGCTGCTATATTATTAAACTGGCAAAACCGGCGTTCGCTTTCATGTGCTCTCTCTCCACGTTTGGTTTTTATGGGTGGTTTAGCCTCCTTACTGACATCATACGATTTGGAGTTTTTTTGGTTATGAATAGGTATTTATGCATCAGACGAATGTGGTGCCATGGCTTGGACTGAATGGTGCAGACTGCGGGGATACCAGGATTATCCGTAATGTTTGTTCAAGGGCATGGATTTCACAGGCTGCAGTAATAACTGGGCTCCTCAAGCAGGTTATGGAAAGCATCATTTAATAATTTAAAACACAGTGCCCTTGATGTATGACTTCATCAAAATAGAGCAGACAGGAAAATGACAAACACAACGTTAATCCTTCCAGCAAACAGACGCAGCACCTGACAGTGATGGATGCAGCAGCTGACCAGCCTGCTGTTATTTATATTAAACACCTAGTCTGCCGTTTAATCCAGAACGAAGATCAGCACAAAATCCTCTCCTCCACTTGTGGGACGAATGTAAAGCACGGATGTAAAGTTTGACAACAGCGAGACCTACAGAGACGCTAATCACTAATACCGCCTCCAGAGTGAGTCGCGTTTAAGATCAGCCCCATGAAACGTATATTTAGGGTTGGCTTACCTTTTATTGACACTTTAAAACACATAAGTAAACAGAACTGCAGTGAATACTGGCTGTACCTAAGATGTGTGTGATACCGTTGGCTGATGGCTCTGTACCCCCAACACTCCCTTCCCATCCCAAGGGCCCTTATATTTGCATCTTTATGGAAGTTTGCCGTGATGTCCTCATACTTGTGAGTGAGTCCCAGCGTGAGAATGTTTTGTTTTTATGGCCAGTCGTAAACCAGCATGAGATGCGGGGGCCAAATAGAGGGAGGGGGGCGTGGCTTAATGTTGGAACTCCCACGCACACTGGGCTCTGCTAGCACAGATACAGCAGTTTCTTTTCACTGCTTCGTTCAGGCATTGTAACCATGGAGGGGGTGTTGGTGGTATGTTTGTTTACAAAAAAGAGCCAGCTCATTTAAAAGGCTAAATAAGTGCGATGCTACACAGCAAACCAATCTAGATGTGCCAAAATATTGCCCCCATGTCAAAAAATGTTTTTCACCTCTCTCCATGCAAAAAAAAAAATAACTGATAGAAGTCTGAAAACAAATCTCCCCCCAGTCCCTCCAGTCAGGAGTCCTGCACCGAATTCCTCTGCATGTGTGAGATTTAGTCATAATCGCGTATGTCCGGGAATGGAGAGAATGAAACAATAGCTTCTGACGCATTTCCATGGAGATGGAGCCTTGCCGCTCAGACCCCAGCTCAAGCCCTTGTTTTTGTGGGCCCTCCTCAGGTGCAGAACTTAGCCACTGTGAACAAAGAGGAAATAAATCACTGTTCACCAATCAGCTAAGCTCTGCACCTGTCCAGTGAGGGGATTCACTCGCTCCAGAGCAGAGAGCGAGCGCTTGCTTCACAGGCCATATGTGGGCCCCACAAGCTTCTGCTCTTTGTTTTTCCAGCGGGATGCCTTTCTGGATCATCAGGTTTTTTTTTTAAAAAAAGGTGTTTTTAAAGGTGCCTCTGGTTGCCATGACAGCCGGCAAGGTCGTGGTTATGTGGTAATCCCTGGCAATGTGATTTTTATCTTAAGTCACAAATCAGCACGCCAGGAACCCACACAGCCCCGACATGAAAGGAGAGTCATGGTGCCCCCATCTCCCTCTCCTACAATTCTCCACGCACCGCTAAACGGGATATTTCACTCATTAACTGTCGCTCCCAGATCGAGAGGGACTCTAAATGCAGCCAAGGGAAATACATACATTGAAAATGAGCTACTTCTAGTACAGATCTGCTCCCAAGTCATATTTATTTCAGCTCCTATTAAATCTAATCTCCCTGGACTAGTAAAAGATGGCGGTCGGAAAGATGGGGCATGTGTATTGTGCACTGAGGATGGTGCTACCATCAGTTACATAAACATACAAGTTAAAGGTTTCACATCACATTCTTTCCTCTACACATCTCTATACACCAGGCAAATAAAAATGATGACAACCTTTTGCAGCAGGACATCAACAACAAAAAGACGGGCACAATTACCATAAATAATTTATGTTGGGGGGGGGGGTTGCTGTGGTGTTGAATTTTGACCATGTTACATTCTACCTATGTGATGCGGTCTTAAATTTTGATAAGAAATTGTTTTCGCCACTCAAGGTCTGTCACAAAGATGTATTTAATTGCTGGGAGTTGGTTGTCTTCCCTGAAGTTGTTCACCGTTTACCTATGACCACGTTTATTATATGCCATATAAACAGCCTGTGTTTTTTTTTTTTTTGGGGTAGAGCTAGAATATCCCCCCTGCTTTCAGAGAGGCCAATGAACCCATGGACTTGAAAAGTCCACAAATTTTAGCTATTGATGACACTGGTTTACTGGAAGAATTTCAGGGTAAACGGCAGTGAGCAGACGCCGTAAAGATGTTTTGTTTTGCAGGGAGTCTCTCCGGAAAAAACCCTGCCCACCCTTTTCATCTGCAATTTTGTTTGAGGAACGTGTTCCAAATTCCTCCCCTCTCGTATACGCATCGTGAAGGTCTTTCAGTGAAACTGCGGAAAGCAAGTTGTCTGACCTTCAAGAGGAATTTTAAAGAAATGTAGCCAAGTGACTTCAGGGTAGACTTTTTAATAAGGGCAAAGTGAAAAACAAGGATCCTATTTAAAAGCTCCAAAAACACTCCTTTGCTACGCCCGCCCCCTGATACAGAAGGGAACAAGGTGGTCCTGCTCAGCTCAGGGCAGCACGTGTGAGCACTGTGGTGACAGTAAAATGAAAAATCAAATGCTGATATCCAGCGCAGATACATAGTCGGGATTATTAATAGTCACCCATCTGCTCAGGTAAAGTTGTATTACTACATGTACAATATAATAATCTATACCACAAGTGTGTCTGCTGGGGTGTGGCATGAGTAAATTGTGTCCTGTACTTGTGTTCTGGCCATACAGCAACTCTGCATATAACGGACTGTTTTGCCAGGTCCCCTGAAGTTCGTTATAAGGGGATTTTACTGTATACATTTTTTTTTGTTTGTTTTTAAGGTTGTGTTTCTTACACTACTACATGACACATATGAGCAAGATGCTACTGTTATTGAAATGTAGTTAAATTTCAGAAGGCCTTCCTCCACTCTGAAATGTGACAGTATGGGGCCACTACTGTCGGACTACCGTCACCTCAGTTTCAGACTCTTTATAAAGGGCTTTTTTGTAACATTCTGGTCTCTAAAAGCTCTGAAATACTTTCCTGTAAGTGTCACTTTGGACAAAAAAAAGGCAAAGTGGTACATCTACATCAGCACATCTGCATTTTTTAAAAATAGGCCCACATCTGTTTGAAAGGTTTCCCCTGTTATGTGCCGCGTTTACTGGTAAAAGGGGAACGTCATTGCGGTTTTCCATAAGCAGCATAAGGCAGACATAATACTTCTGTTCTGCAGAGGCCTTATGAATAAGCTTAGGTCTCAGAAACACCCACAGTTCCACCGGGCCAGTTAACCCCTTCCTTTCTGAATGCAAGTAACTCCAGTACCTCAGTAGATCATCTCCTCCACCACTTTGCGCACAGCTGGGTCCATCTCCTCCTGGGCCTGAGAGAAGCATCTCCTTGCGAGGGCTTGCTGATGTGCATCCTCTTGGACCATCAGCTCCCCATACAGGTAAACACCCATGGCCTGCAAGACGCCAGAACCCAGAATTATTACTCTAGTGAAGCAACACATGCATCACTCTGTTACAACACATAGCTACTCTATTACTGAGTGGGCAGCATGTGTACATCACAATGCTGATTAAATGACTTTTTACAACCAAACGACACCAAAAGCTGCCTTCTCCCCTGATAAGTGGCTTAAGTGCAGTTGAAGATGATCAGAGGATTGTTACATGTAGCCCTATTGCTTAATTAGTTTTTCCTATTCTGGCATGTTTACAAAGCTAAAGTGGGTATCGGCTGGATGCGCAAAAACACAATCAGTCACGGACAATTGCCCCTTCCTCTGATACATCTTCGTGGATCATTAGTTGAAAAGTCCGGTCTCTTCTTCCTCTGCCCCAGTGGTGGTGATGGATTCTGGTCATTGAGGTGTCACCATTACCCCACAGGCTACATAAATCATGTAGGGGTGCCCTGTGGACCCCAAGCCCAGAGCCCTCCCACACCCCAAAACGCAACCTCCTATAATGTTGGTTTTTGAGGCTGATAAACGCGTGGGTGTCATGAATATACCCTCCCATTTGTCCTGCTTACCAGTCACCTCCTGGCAGCTGCTGACAACCGAGAAATGATCACTGTAGTCATGTATATATCGGGGGGGGGGGGG